CCCCAAAACCCCAAAACCCCAAAACCCCATTCTTAAGAAGCCCCGTGGAAAATTATAATATTGTTAAGAAATATAGAACAAAATGGTATTTTTAGAAAAATCTCATGAATTTTAGGTTTCATTAGTAAGGAGAGTACTTATTTTGAGTCTCTTGTTGTTGGTCTTTGGAGTTGTGCATGCACAAAGTGGGAAGGGAGTTATGGAAGAGGAAGACACTCCATGTCTGAAACATATGAGGAAGGTTCTTAGTCCTGAAGGACTGGGAGATTTGGTACAAGTGGCCCTGAATAGTGCGAAGGGATTGAATGAGTTAGGTGATTATGAAAGCTGTAATGCTGATGGGTTGGAGTATTCGTTGCTGGCACTTGAATTGATGCCTATTGGATTCACGGTTTTGAGGCTTGGGCTCTGTGTACCACAGGAGTGAGCTAATCAGGAAAGTTTCAAAGGGATTTCTGATTATATTGAGAAAATGGCTGCTCCATCTTTGCCTGACGATGCCAAGATTGTTGCTAAAGTTACAGTTCCAAAAGAAGTACTCGCAGAGTCAATGTCGACAGGTGCAATTATAATTCTGGTTGTCACTGGATTTATTGTCTTGCTCTGGCTTCTTGGCATGCTTGTTAGCTATACTAATATTGGGAATAATGGGAACTTCAGATCAGAGAAGATTGAGGATAAAAAGATGCCATGGGCACTTGCTCTTCATTCTTGGAATCCTATCGTAAATCTTGAGAAACTTTTCACTGTGAAGGAAGGAGGAGATAAAACTCTGAACGTGTTGAATGGAGTTAGAGTGCTCAGTATTGGATGGGTAATACTTGGACACTCATTTTCTTTTGTTACTATGTCAGCTATCAAAAATGGACAAACACTTAATGTTTTATTTGATAGTGATTTCTTCTCTATTGTTCCTGGAGGCATCTATGCTGTTGATACTTTCTTCTTTCTTTCTGGATTCTTGACATTTGCTCTGCTGATCTCAAAAATGTACCCTAAGAAAGGGATGATTGGAATTGTAAATACGTTTCTGATCTATTTCCACAGATATTATAGACTCATCTTCCCGATGATATACATTCAATTTTTTACTATGTTTGTCATGAGGTATTTCGGGAATGGGCCAATGTATCGGTAAGAAATGCTTTAATTCTTTTCTTTTACAATAAAATTTCCTTTTCAAATTCTGATAATTAGATTTTTATAGACAGAGTTGGGATTTCCTGACCAAATCTTGCTTCGCAAACCCATGGCAAAACTTTGTGTTCATTGCCAACCTATACCCTTGGGGGATGGCTGATCAATGCATCGGTTGGGTCTGGTATCTAATGTGTGACATGCAGTTCTTCATTATCAGTCCTCCAATTATTATTGTCTATTGCATGAACAGGAAGATTGGAAAACTACTAGTAATTTGTATGATTGGGGCTTCAATGATTACTATGGGAGTCTTATCAATCATATGGAATATCGGAATGGATGGTAACTCAACTAAGATTCAAAATGTTGGAGACTACGTGTACAACAAGCCTTGGACCAGAATGGGTGCTTACTTTGTAGGTGCTCTGTTTGGAATCTCCTACTTTGAACTCTCCTGCAGGGACAAGCACCAGGAGCTATCAAGCACATTGTTCAACAAGTGCTATGATATTCTGAAGAACTCTCAGGTGATTTCGTTGTTGGTGTGCTGATTTGGAGTAGGAATCACAGCTCTGTATGTGTTCCCGAATGCAGCTTATGCCAGGGGATGATTTGCTTCTGAAGATTCAGATAGTGGAAACTGCTGGCCTCTATTTTTATCAACTTTGTGGAATATGACAGCCAGACCTTTCTTTGTTGTAGGAGTAGGTCTAATTATTGTTCCCACATTTGTAGGAAGATTGAGAGTTATTAAAGCATTCTTAGGTGCAGAAACTTTTGAAGTGTTGGCAAGGCTCAACTACATGGTTTATATGGTTCATTGTCTTGTGCTCTTTCATTTTCTAAATAACATGAGAACTAGTGCTTATGTGACCAGTGTAACACAATGGTTCTTTGCTATTGGATGAACTATGATCTCTTTCATTGTTGCAATTCCACTAACCCTCATCTGCGAAGTTCCATTCATGAATCTTGAGAAATACATATTATTCCCGAAGAAGCAAAAGAAGAAGATTGAGGAAGTTTCTTTGGAAGCTGAGTACAAAAAAGGTAATGGAAAAGCTGAGTTCTACAAGCTGGAAGACCATGATGACACAGTAGAGTCTGGAAGGAAACTATTGGAGAAATCCTAAACTTTGATTACAACATATTAAGGTTTATTATCGGCTCTACGATATCTCATTATTCTGGGGTTTTGGGGTTTTGGGGTTTTGGGG